TCCCTGTGGGATTCGGGGATTTACTGCAATTACAAAAGAAGACTTACGGAAGCAATGAGGACACACACATTAATCTTGGCCGTGCGATGGTCCATTATGAGCTGGAGCTCACTAAGAAAGGTGATAGAAAATTCAATGCTGTTGCAGCTGATTTGCTGCTGAAGGGACTGGAGTGGCCAAGGATGGAGGGAACAACAAAACGTTGTTAGGAATAGACAGCCGCTTTATCACACCAGATTGCCAAGGACAAGAAGCAGGCCGACGAGTGAAAAACAAATATGACAGAAAGCAGAAGTATTAAGGAGTCAATAGATTGTGCGTACAGGGAAGGGAGAGGGATTAGAAGGTTGCGATAAGTTACAGCGGAATGGGGGAAGTCATAGTCCGAGATAGAGACTGGAGCTGGCTCCGTTTCAGCAAAGCTCCGAATTCCGAAACGGAACTTGCCTTGCACACAGCCAGCTACCGGCCGGAGCCGAGCATGTAACATGGTCGGCTCCGGCCCAGGCGGCTCCGCTGGCAGAGGACGGCTCCTCAGTCCGATGCTCCGTGCGTGGCTCGGCTCTCAATCGAAGCCTGGTGCCGGAGCCGCCTCCGGGTCCCTGATTTAAACCAACCTAATTTACAAAAATGTCAAAGTAATTTTACCATGCTGCCGAATTTTTTTGGCTCTAAAGATTTAGAATTTCGGAGTATTCAGCAGAAAACACTCACTAGTTTCTAAAACACATTTTTAAAGCGGGTTCGTCCATTTTGTGGGTTGGGAAAATCACCAAAAGGAAAGGATCTCCCTTCTCTCACTGTGTATAGTATTGTTTTTCAACATTTACACCTATTTTTATACCTAACATTTATACTTCTCTTAAAAGTTGGTGAAATACTTTACCTAAACCATGTCGATGTGTGGACATAGGTGGCATTGAAGTCCAAGACTGGGTCTTTATATTGAAACACTCAACAGAGTTGAGAGTTTTCAGGCCGTCTCGACCTCCTACAACAAATAATTTATCATCTAGAACTGCAACACCAAACTGCAAACGTCGGCCACCCATATGACAAACAAAACTCCAATTGTCAGTGCGGAGGTTGTACTGCTCGATATTAGTTGCTCCAACTAAAACAAATGCCATGTAAAGAGTCAATAATTCATATCAAAAGGCAAAAAAGCAAGCTGCCATCAGCAATTGGCAAGCAATGGGCCAGCAGCCAGCTGCACACAAGAGATAGAGCGAACTGATTATACAGTGAAAGGGAAAATTCACTCAAAAACGTTGGACCTCGCCTCCATGCGGGACATACGGCAGGTACCCCCCTCCTTACGTCTGAAACCAATGAAGATACGTCTTTGCTGACTTCACCATTGAACAGAGCATGCTTCACTTAGTCTAATTTCATGTCTAACTAAAAAAAAATGTTTTTGTTCATACGGCGTTCTTCCTTAGCACGGCAGCATATCACTCTCGCCAACCAACTTATTTTTTACCCGATCAACTCTATACTTCCAAACAAGACAATATCTCTTCCACCCACAACTTCTACCATATGTTCACCTGGTACGTTCTCCATTACCCAGTCTCTTGGCATAGAAAGTAGCTTTGCCACCATCAGAGCGTGAAACTGGTGAAGAGTTATTTCCCCCTTCCCTCCCCAACGCTACCTTTTAAACAACCACCCTAACCCCTTATAAATTATTTTGTAACACATACACACTAGTCCACAGTTGGCTTCAGGTGTTTAATGCAAAACCATTAAACAACAGAAAAAAAAAAAATGTAAAAGCAAAGAGACTGATGTATCATTCAAACTTTAATATAATAGCTGCACACAGGAATGTTTTTTGTACATCTGCAACCACACTATAAATTGCGGGTTTTATGAATTAAAACTTGCAAGGTTGCCATTTTTCATTTTTTCCAATATCGTTTTTTTTTTTTAAATTATTATACATCGTCAAATGCCTCTTTTCAAAATCAAACAAAA